CTCTGGGTCTGAATGCCCAGCCGGGAGGGGCCAGGGCCCCGCAGGAGAGCTGGGCTCCAGCGGCCGCCCGCCTGGGACTGAGCTCAGTTCCCCCGTTCCCCTCTGAGCCCTGACGTGACTCACGCCTCCACTTAACACCAGGAAAACAACCTAACCCTGCACTGTGTCCTCAATGCTGGCTCTTCAGGAAGACGACTCGCTGCCCGAGCCCCTGGCAGTGCTGAGAGAGTGGCCCAAAGACGCCCACCGCCCTGTCCTTGCCCTCCGCTGGGCCAGGGGTGGAGCCACCTGACACCCTCCCGCCGATCGTGGGGGTCAGGGACTCCGGGGGTCAGACCTCCACCTGCTCCCAGGTGAGGTGGTCACACCTGCGCTCCTGGGAGGAGCTCTGAACCCACCCGGCTCCTCCCCACACCAAGCCAGGGCCCAGGAGCCCGAGGGTGTCGGCGGGGTGCTTACCTGGAGCAGGAGCCCCACCAGCCGGCCCTGCCCTGGCGCTGCCTGGCCTCGGAGCTGGCGGCAGCGGATCCGATCACCGGTGTCATTATCAGGAGGGTCTCACCTGAGTGCCCGCAGCCTCACCTGAGCTCCGCCCGCCCTGACCCGCGCTGGCCCACGCCGCCTCCCGCGCCCTTGCTTGCCCTCAGGTGGTGGAAATCAGGACCTGATTCCCGCGCGGGGAGCTCCTCTCCGCCCCCCACACCCGCCCGCCCGGCTCCAGGACACCGAGGCCAGGTGCTGGCGCAGCGAGTGGGCCGAAGGAGCCCATGCTTAGGGGAGGGGCACTGCCCGCCAGGTCTCTAGGGCCAAGGTCAAGGCCAGCCTTGCCGCGTGGGCCCCGGAGAGGTGGAGTGGGAGAGTGGGAGGCTGCCGTCTCCGTGGGGGTGAGGCCGCAGCAGCCTGCCTGGCACAGAAGTCCACGCGTGGCGATGGCCGGTGTGTCCGGCGCCCCTTTGGCGGTCGCTCCAAATGGGTCATTTCCCCACTGTCCTCCCTCCAGACCTCACAGCAACGCCTGGTGTTTGCTTTCCTTCTCGTTTTCTCTCCACTCACTTCACGGAGCCACAGCGATTGAGCTCGGGCTCCAGCCCCAGGCACCTTGGCCCAAAGCCTGGTCCCCGACCAGGACCTCCCTGGCAGGCTCAGTGCTGCCCCCTCCCCCTCCAGCTCCCCCCCAGCACTCACATGGGGCCTCTACAGCTCTGCTCCTTCCCCAACCCCCTCCGGCCCATCTGGCACCTCCTTTCCTCGGTGGAAAGCGGGGGCCACTCTCCTGACACCCAGGAGGCCCCGGAGCGGCTCCTCCCGGCCTGGCCTGTGTCACCGGCCTCTCACTGGAGCTCTCCGGGCAGCCAGGCCCTCCTGCGACAGGCGGACGCGCTGGTCAGAAAGCCGTGGGAAGGAGCGTCTGCCTCCGGCAGCTCACAGGCAAGGACACGGCTCGGACAGGTCGCTTTATTGCTCTGTTCCCACTGTCCCACCCACCTGACTCCTCTGTCGGCTCCTGCTGCTCTGAAGTTACTCCAGCCCCACCCACTCCTCCTGACCCCTGACCTCAGGGAAAAGAGCAGCCCCTGAGTCCCAGGCCCTCCTGGCCTCCTGCTGAGCACCAGGGCCCACGGCAACCAGGGCGCCCCCAGTGGCCAGTCCTTCCCAGGGCCCTGCCTTCAGGAGGCCGTCCCGGGATGAAGAATAAGGCACCGTGGTGAGGGGGAGCGAAGCCAGGACAGAGCGCGGGGGTGAGTCCTCACGCAGGGCACAGCCCCTCGCCTCCCCTTCTCCAGGGATGCGCACGTCGGTCTGGCACGTTGGTCACCAGGAGGGCTGGGCGGTGGCCTGGCCCCTGCCTGTCCGCCGTGTCTGGAGTCGGGTCAGGGCCACGTGGCTCCCACTCCTTCCCACAGTCAGGTCCGCAGCCGCGGGCTGGGTGTGGCCAGCCCCGGGGCTCAGCTCCGGTAGCTCTTGAGCAGGTGGCCCGCGATGACCAGCCTCTGGATCTCACTGGTGCCCTCGTAGATCTCGGTGATGCGGGCGTCGCGGTAGTGCCGCTCGGCCGGCATCTCTGTCACGTAGCCCATGCCACCCAGGATCTGAATGGCCTACGGTGAAAGGCAGGGCTCAGGGCGGAGAAGACACCTCCATGTGGGACAGACAGGGGCAGGATCAGCCACACAAGGACAGCTCAACCCGGGCCTCGCCGCCCCGGACACTCACCTGGTGGCTGATGGCAGTCGCGGCCTCCGATGCAGCCAGCTTGGCCATCGCTGCCTCCTAACCGCAGGGACAGGGGTCAGAAACGGCACCACGTGCCCAGCACCGGCCCTCAGAGGGCAGGCTGGGAGAGCCCCCCTGGAGCAGCAGGAATTGGAACCCCACCCAGGCTTCTCCCTTCCCAGGGCACCTTGGTGAAAGGCTTCTTGTTGTCCTTCAGCATGGCGGCGCGCCAGGTCAGCAGCCGGGCACTCTCCAGGGCCAGGGCCATGTCCGCCAACTTGAACTGCAACGACCAGGCCCCGGCCGCCAGTCAGCACCCCCCCTCCCCCGCCCTCCCGCGGAGGACAGCAGGGAGCAGGAGGGGAGCATGGGAGCAGGACGCTCCTGTCCGCCCGGTTCCCTCCCCAGGCTCCAGGCTGGTACCTGGATGCCCTGGAGCTTGGTGATGGGCGCCCCAAAGGCCTTGCGATTCTCAGCATAGTTCACAGCACAGTCCAGGGCGGCCTGGGCGATGCCCAGTGCCTGGGAGGCGATGCCAATGCGGCCCATGTCCAGGGTTTGCTGTAGGGACCGCCTGTCAGTAGCTGGCCAGCTGGGTGCCAGGGCCTCGACCCAGGGCCCCACCCCCTGCCAGGCTCACCCCCCC